CCTCTGTTAAAAATAAAAAGTATTTTTTAGTCTTTTGAGGTGTAATTATTACTTTTTTTTAAAGTACCCCTATTAATAAATAATTTTATATTTATTGTATGGTGTTTAATAGGAGTAAATATAAAAAAATAAAGTTGGTGTAAAACTAAATAACTATTTATTGAGAGATAAAATTTAATTAAAACTATTTTATATTTTAAAATGAAGAGCGTGCAAGATAGTTATATATTTAAGAATGGAGGGAGTGCACGCACCTAATAATCATAAATACTATTTGATTATTTAATACAACTAGCATATTTATATAAATATTATTTATTTTTTAATTTCAGTGTATTTGCACGATGCAACATAAAGTTGTCAATCTAATCAATGCAAAGGGACACGCCAGACCCCTTCGATTTCTATTATAAAACATCTTTTTTAAAAAAAATTAATTTTTAATATATAAAATATTTAATAAGATATTAATTATGTTTGTTTAATATTATTTTTATTTAAATTTATTAAATATAAGAGGTAATAGAATGTAAATTTGAAATTTAAAAAATATTTCATTTAAATATAAGTAAAATTGATAGTTTATTTTATTTTAAGACAAAGTAATGATTCAATTACTTCTCTTTAGTTTTGATAAATGGTTAGAATGCCTTGTACTCTTTTTTGTTTTAAATTATAAGACATCTGGGTGAGATTTGATAATATTTCAAATATAAAACATAAAATTTCATTAATATTTTTTAATATTATACTTCGTATTATGTATGTTTCTTTCTTTAATATTCTATAAATAGAGTATTAAATGAAGAATATTTTTAAAAATTTATATTTTTATTTAAAATAAATAAATATATTTAAGAAATTTTATTAATATGTGAGAGTGTTTCAAAAGTTAGGATGGAGTGAATAATATATATTAATTGCAGTTTCTTTTTTTTTTTTGGCCAACAGTTACAGCTCCTAATTTGACGGTATATAACGCAAAAATAATGAATGCGTGTGACTGTAATTGAAAGTCAAGTAATATTTTATTTTTATATTTAAAACACACTGTGCAAAGAAAATGAAGCCGGCGGCGCCGGAGCTGGTGGCTAGCTGGCTCAGTAGTGAAAATTAGAAAATTGCTACAATTTTTCTTTTGCGAACACTCTTACGATATAATAGGAAATAATGATGATTTAGATTTGAATATTACTTTTTTTCTACTAATGATATAATCATTGCTAAATATTATTATTTCAAAAACTTAACATTATTTTTATTTCAGAGATCTACCGACGAGAAAGAGAGAAAAGTGAGCGGATGAAAGAAGAGGCAAATCCCACACCCAAAAAAGGGAAAAGGAACACTTTAATTAAGATATATATATATATATATATATTTTATTTATTTATTAGCACCAGATATTATGCATAATAAAAAGGGAATGTTAATCTATCATTTATTTTTATAACTTTCTCAAAGAGCCTGTGCAACTAACCTCATCTAATCGGGTAATGCTTATTATTGTTATTATTGTATGAAAGTGAAAGTGAGCTCAAGATGAACAAGTTTTATTATAATAATAATGAGACGAATACAAAACCATGAAGCCTTCCTCATAAAGGCCGCGAAATAATACTCCCTCAGTTTTTAAATATGAGAGAAAATAGTCAATTAACACAATTTAAAAAGTTTTCTAAATATAATAATTATGCCTAAAATTAAAAATTTTCAAGTAAATTATCCTTATAATTAGTGAAATAAATTTTTCAAATGAAAATAAACATTAACTTTTCGAAGGACAACTAAGAAAAATGTAGTTAATGTTTTTTAAAATTTATAAGTTTGCTTATCAATAAAAATAAAGAAACATACAAAAATTTTTTTCCCATATTTGAAAACATAAAGAACGCAACACACACAGTGGCGAAGCCACATTGGGGTAAGGGGTGCAAATACCCCTCACTTTGAGAAAAATTATAAGTGGGACATTTAAAATTTATAATTTTGTACTCCCTATTTTAATATTTTTCTCTCTTTGAATTAAATAAAAAATATTTATGTTTAAAAACTTATTAAATATATAATATTTTAATAATTTAAATAAGATATAAAGAGTATATTTATAATAAAAGATTATATCAACTTATTCAACATAATTTTTTAAAATGAAAAATGATGATAAATTTATTTATACTATTATAATTTTAATCTGAACATAATTATTACTATTTTTTAAAAAATATTAATTTTTTATTAAATTATTCCGCACTCCCTACTCAGGTCCTAGCTCCTCCACTGAACACACACCTAATAATCATAAATAATATTTGATTATTTAACACAACAAGCATGTTTATTTAAAATATTATTTATTTTTAATTTCAGTACGTTTGTGCGATGAAACATAAAGCTGTCAATATAATCAACGCAAAAGGGATACGTAATACTCCCCTGTATCTCTATTATAGAGTATTTTTTAGAAAATTTTTGGTTCTTAATATATAAGATATTTGGTGGGGTATTAATCACATTTTTTAATATTATTTTTATTTAATTCATTAACTATGAAGAAGAATGTAATGTAAATTTAAAAATATTTCATTTAAATATAAGTAAAATTGACAGTTTATACTATTTTAAGACAATTAATGACTCACCACTTCTTTTAACTTCCAGTAAGTGGTTAAAAGTGGTTAAAAGTACCTTATACTTCTTCCATCCAAAATTATAAGAGACTTTAGAGTGAGATTTATGGCTTGCTTGTTTTCTTTTTTAATTTTTTTTATTTTTGAAAGCAACAAAATTTAAAGACATGTTTGGGTAAATGTTTTTCATTTAATTATTTTCAAATTGTTTTTAAAATAAAAATAGAAACAACTTCAAGTTGTTTTTGTTGTATTTTTCTTGTTTTTAAAATATACACTATATTTGATTATTAAAAATTATAATTATCTTAATCAATTTTTATTATTAATTACCATTAGTAGCTGTCTATAGCTATAACTATCAATATTTTTTTAATTTTAAAACTGTTTTTTAATTGAGATAACCAAACAAATTTTCATTTTATTTGTTTTGAAAACAATTTTAAAAACATTATTATAAAACAGTTTTTGAAAATAAAAAATGAGAACAAAAACCAAACAGGCCTTTAGTGTCCAAAATATAAGATAGACAAAATTTAAATTTTATTAATGATATTTTTTTATATTATCTTTATCATTATGTTTTCTTTCTTTAATATTCCTTTATAAATGGAGTATTAAATGAAGAATTTTTTTAAAAATTTATATTTTTTAAAAATAAATATATTTAATAAATTTTATTGATATATATGGGTGTTAAAATTTGAGAGAGTAGACTATATTAATTGCAACTCCTAATTGACGGTATATAAAGCAATGATAATGAATGCGTCTAACTGTAATTAAATATACTTAATTGAAAGTCAAGTATATTTTATTTTTATATTTAAAAAACATTGTGCTAAGAAAATGATGCCGGCGGCGCCGGAGCTGGTGGCTAGCTGGTTCAGTAATAAAAATTAGAAAATAGCTACAATTTTTCTTTTGTGAACACTCTTACCATATAATAGAAAAAAATGATGATTTCCATTTGAATATATATTAATTTTTTCTACTAATGATATAATCATTGCTAAATATTATTATGTGAAAATTTTGACATTGTTTTTATTTCAGAGATCTGTAGACGAAAAGAGAGAAAAGTGAGCGGATGAAAGGAGAGGCAACCCAATGCTAAGATTAGTGTTATTATCATAATCTTATTAAAAAGAGAAAAATGAGACACTTTAATTAATTAACGTAATAGTCAATAGAATCTACGGTCATTTGTTTTGGGCTGTGATTCTCAGGTCATATGAAGAAGTTTTGAAACCTAAGACAAAATTATTAATAAAGCCTAATATGCGCAATTGTCACTTAAAAAAAATACTCATCATTTTTTATAAAATTATATATTAAAATTTTATAATAAAATGATTCTATTAGAATACTAAATTAGTTCAATCGTGAGATGAAAATTAATGTTGACAAATTCTTCTACTCCATCTTATACATTAGAATAAAATGTGAATATTAACACTAATATAGGGTGTCAATATATTTTTGACAAAACGGATACAGTTAAGACTAATAATATCAATAATTAATGTGAAAATTAATAATAATTATATAATTATAAACAAGATTTTGATAAACCTTAACGGTGTTGCATTGATGATCTACAACTACTAAAAGTCTTAATACTAATATTTTTCAATGCTTTAGACTTTAAAATAAGAAAAGGAGAAAATGAAAAGTGAAATCATGAGAGGATATAACATAGGTTAATATAGTGCAAATTAATATATTATGAATATTACTATTCTTTCTCATGTAAATAATGGGTTCGCAGGTCAATAATTAATGTTATATAGAGAATGATTGAAACTTTTCAATAGAAAAAAAAATCATTATTTTTTATTCTCTTTCATTTATAATTAAATATAAATAAAACAAATATCAATCACATATGTATTTGCATAAATAATAGGATTATTAAGAATTTCTTTTTGGAGGCCCAAAGCAATTGCCTTACTTGTATTATGGCTTACACGGCCCTGGTGAATCTAAACATATGTGGTGATCATTAATGAAACTTTTATATTTTCATATGAACAAGAGAATCTAACTTGATTATAGAATGAAATGTTAATGAAGGAAAGTTCAGAATAAAACAGAAGAATATAATGAAAACAGTGTGCAATAGAGAAGAGGCATGATATATGGATATGGGAGAACATTTTGCACATGAAATCAGAGTGACCTCCCCAGAATCTGATGGCGTGAGTGTTCACACATTTAGAGGTGAATGACTAATTGAGTTACGTTGTCAATGTGTAGCTTTGAAAATTGTTGGTCAATTTGGAGGTAGCTTATAAATTATCTTGCCATTTATTCTTCTAGTAATTTGTATATGTCAACAAACAAATCTCTATAAATTATTAAATTCCAATGCAGATTGCCGCAGAGACCCCAATGCAACCTACAATGGGTCGTTCGACAATACTATCACCACTCTCATTACTTTCCCTCGTCGTGCTTGTTTCCCTCCCTTCACAAACCTCAGCTTCTTCTTCTTCTTCTTCTTCTTCTACTTCGTCTGACAACACTTTGATCCATTGCCTCGTGAACAATTCTGATCCGTCTCACCCCATAACCTCCGCCATTTTCACCCCCAACAATGCCTCTTTATTCTCTTCCACACTACAAGCCTACATCAGAAACCTCCGTTTCAACAACTCTTACACCCCAAAACCATACCTTATACTCACTGCCTTGCATGTCTCCCACGTCCAGGCCGCTGTTATTTGTGCCCAAAACCAAAACCTGCTCATGAAAATCCGAAGTGGAGGTCACGATTACGGGGGTGTTTCATACAGAGCTGAACTCCCCTTCTTCATCCTCGACATGAGCAATCTCCGATCCATCCAGGTTGATATAGATGCTGAGACAGCTTCTGTTCAAGCTGGAGCCACACTCGGTGAAGTTTACTATAACATAGCTCAGAAGAGTAAAACCCATGGCTTCCCAGCTGGGGTTTGTCCCACGGTTGGTGTTGGAGGACATATAAGTGGTGGTGGGTATGGGAATCTGATGAGAAAATATGGTCTGTCTGTGGATAATGTCATTGATGCACAAATAGTTGACGTTCATGGAAGATTGCTTGACAGAGAATCTATGGGTGAGGATCTATTTTGGGCCATTAGAGGTGGTGGTGGAGCTAGCTTCGGAGTTGTGGTATCGTACAAATTGAAGCTAGTTCGAGTCCCTGAGGTGGTCACGATTTTCCAAGTGGCTAAGACCTTGGAGCAGAACGCCACAGATATATTGTACAAGTGGGAGCATGTCGCTCCGAGCATTGATAATGACCTCTTCATTAGGGCTAATATTGACGTGGTGAATGGTACTAAAAACGGGACAAAGACTATAAGGGTTAGATTCATGTCCATGTTCCTTGGCGACTCCAAAATGCTCCTCTCTATCATGAACGAGAGCTTTCCTGAATTGGGTTTGAAGCAATTGGACTGCATAGAAACGAGCTGGATTAAAGCAGTGATGTTCTGGACAAACATTAATATTACAGAGCCGGTTGAGATTTTACTAGACAGGACGACTCAGTTGCTGAATCACTTCAAAATGAAGTCTGACTATGTGCAGCAACCTATTTCCAAAGAAGGGCTGGAAGGGATATGGAAGAAGATGATAGAATTGAAGGACCCATATGTACAATTCAATCCTTATGGCGGACGAATGGCTGAGATTCCAGCCACTGCAACTCCTTTCCCTCATCGTGCTGGGAATCTATGGAAGGTGTTTATACACATTTGCATTAATTTTTGTTGACTGAAAACTGAAATTCGTTCAAGAACTGAAAAAACACAGTACAAGAAACAAAACAAACTAAGACAGAGAGCAATCAATCATCATTCACCTCGTACTCTAATGTAAGGTGGGGGATGATTAAAGATATAAATAGTGCTATCCATCAAATGGGCTTCCTTAATTTACAAAGCAATGAGCATGACTAATAACATTTCTAAAGACAAAATTAATAGACAAAGACCACTTCCTAATAACATCATTCATTTGAATTAATCTTGAAGCCTATATATTTATGCATGTAATTCCTCTCACACAATTACATATTATTTGTCTAATAATAGGTGCAATATCAAGCGAATTGGAATGAGGCGGGGAAAGAGGTGGCAGACCACTACATAGAGTTGATGAGAAAACTTCACGAGTACATGACTCCCTTCGTGTCCAAGAACCCTAGAGAAGCATTCTTCAACTATAAGGATCTTGACTTAGGTATCAACAACAACAGAAATAACAGCTACCAAGAAGGTAGAGTTTATGGGGTGCAGTATTTCAAGGACAACTTCGATAAGTTGGTTCGAATTAAGACCCAAGTTGATCCTTCCAACTTCTTTAGGAACGAACAAAGCATCCCTACTCTGCCCCAAGTCGCAAGGGATAGACCAAACAATTATTAAATTACCTCCTATATTTGATTATTTATCATATGTGTATGGGAATATATACAGCCTAGCCCTATGATCCCTAATATCTATCCTTGATATGGGACAAATTCAGATTGGACTGCTTTAAATTATTTGGATTGATTGGCTTCTTTCAATAAAACAAGAATAATATATACCATGATCTTTTCTTCATATGTGATAATTCTATCTCCGATCAAAATTTGACGCATGGACTTGTTTAACGCATCTCAATCATTAACACGTGACTAACGGTGTTAGCTTACTGTACGTTTATGAAGCTTATAGAAACATAACCATTGAAAAAATCCAGTGATGCGCCTAAATTTAGCACCTGCAGGTGCATGGGTCTATCAGTAATACAGCGGGTCAAGGTCGCCCCACAAGGAGTTACCGCAAATTAATACCAAGCATTTAATAAATTGATTTTATTCAAGTTAAGCTAATAAAATTAAGGGTAGTTATAGGGAGAATTAATTATCTGGACCTTATAATTTTGATTTAAATGTAACTCAATTCCTAAACTTTAACTCGTTATAACTCAGTCCTTGAGATTTTGACTCAATTGTAACTCAGTCTTTGAATTTTACTTCTTATAATTTAGTTCTTATAATTTCAACCACTTATTTACTAGTCCTTATATCTTAAAAAATAAAATTATAAAGATTAAAAATATGTTAAAATCTATTACTAATATTTTAAATTACTAAACCATTTTAGTCTTTATAAATATTATAAATATTAAAAGTTTAAAATATTTTTAATTTTTATAATTTTATTTTTAAAATATAGAGACTAATATTTAAGTAGTTGAAACTATAAGGACCAAATTGTAAGGGGTAAAATTCATAGTCTAAGTTACAATTGAGTTAAAACTATAAGAATTAAGTTATAACGAGTTAAAGTTTAGGGATTGAGTTACAATTGGGTCAAAACTATAAGGATCAAATGATTAATTTTCACATCAAAATCAAATTTCAAAGTTCACAATTAAAATAAAAAAAATAATCTTTGATCCTTATAGTTTCGTTGAGTTTTGCTTTTAGTACTTGTAGTTTTTTTCAATATTTTTAGTCCCTATAGTTTCAGAAAGATTGGATGACTTTTGTTTTCAAGGTCCTTATAGTATCCAATTTTCCTGTGGTTTTAGTCTCTATAGGGACTTAATACATTGAAAAAAACTACAGGGTCTAAAAGTAAAATCCAATGAAACTATAGGGAACAAAGTTTATGTTTTCCCTAAAATAAATTTCAATCTACAAATAAGCTTAAGATAACCAAAAGGTGAGTGTTCCAAAGTGTTAATCCCTAAATTTCTTCCTAACCCTCTTATTACTATTTTAATTATCTTGAAATTCAGTTGTAATGATTCAAGAGTCTAGAATAATCTAGAGTATCTTTCGATTATTGAGGATCTTAATTAATCCAATTAAAGAAAATTATTACTTCAAGTAGTTAATTGCACTAGAGACTCAAACCTATAAGGATTACCTAAATCCGTTAGATATATTCGTGTTCTAATAGCAAAATTAGTTAAACTAATTATAAGCTACTAGTTTTTAAGATCCAATTTTGATGAATAAGGTTGGCACTTAAGTGGGGGATGACTTGGTATTCAAATTTTTTTGACACAGACGATAAAAAGGGTATTTTAAGCATATTTATATATTATTTTTCTCTTATATTGACTATTTAATGTGTGGATTCAAGAATAGATTAAATAAAATTCCTCATTTGGAGATTTTGGTGCATTTTCAAGAAAAAGAGACAAAAATAACATGAAAAAAGCCCTAAAACGCAAATTCTATTCTAGAAATTTATACTAAGGGCAGAAGAAATGCACAACCAAGGGTAGACATGCATGTCCACAAGCAGACAAAAGGAAAAAATGACAAAAATTATATTTTAAATAATATATAATCAGATCTAATAGGATAAAGTGTGATTTGGATGAATTCTAAGCCTATAGAGGTCAAATTTATTATAAATAAACCTCCCAAAAGTCTCTCAACACATTTAATCTCATCTTTGAAGGCTAGGAGGCATACTACAAAGTCCGAATGAGTCTTTTGAGCTGGGAGCTTTTTCTCTTCTCTTCTTCTTTAGATTCTTTCTATGTCTTTTATCTATAATTGTAGTTTTGAATCTATAAGTTCTTGCTAAACTCCTAGGCAAGGTAGGAAGTAGCTTGATTAGGATGAATTTTATTCTTTATTTATTTTTTATTATTTTTCTTATTGAACATTGAATTTTCTCTATGAAATTTATGTTTGCTTTTATATTTATCTCTTTAATTTTAATTACTATTTATATATTTGGCTAGTATATAATTTGTCTGTGGGTAGTTTCATGAACTGAAAGGTGAAAAACTTACCTAAGCTTAGAGAGATAGACGTAAATAACTAAATTAAAAATAATTTAGGAGTTTGTGGTGGCTTAGATCGTAGCTTTATGATTTAGTTAGAGAGTAGAATTTAGTAAGAGCTAGATTTAACTCTAATTAAATACATCCTAATATACTAAAAGGTAATTAGGACACCTTAGAAATGGTTATCGCTATAAAAAAAAGAGAAGATAATGAACTGAATTTGGATAATCCATCCTAGTAGGTGAATCTTGATCCCTTGTGCTCGTCTGATTTGTTAGTTCATTACTTTTACTGATGTTCTCATTTATTTGCTTTTACTAAATTATTAAATATTTTTTTAAAAAAATCCTTATTTGATTTCTTAAATAATAAAGATCACTATCTTTCTTTAGGTTTGACCTGAAATACTTCAAATTTATTACTTTATCGATCTCATATACTTACGAACAATCAAGTTTTTGGCATTGCTATTGAAGAAGATATATAACTTTGTTATTTCTTTGTCATTGTTCTTTTATTTTTTTCTTTATTTTCATTGGCTTTCTTATGCAAACTAGACACTTCAAGAAATCCTTTGAAGTTGAATTGACTTCTACTAATAAAGAAATTAAATGATTGTGAGAGACCAATAAGAAAAAGAGGCAAAAGAAAAATCAAGAGGAACCTAAGCTAGCAAACTCCAATGAACCAAAGTCTCTAAAGGAAATTACTAACACTGAGACACTAATGGAGGATCACACACTAGTTGTTGCACCTCGATGGAGGGACATCGTTGTTCCTCATGTGAATGTTGGCCTTTCGTCCATATAGTTGAGTGCCCAAGCTAGAAACTATGAGCTCAAGGCTCATCATCCGAATAGCCTTCCAACATTCTACAATAGGCTAACTAAAGATGCCCTTGCATTCATCAAAAAATTCTTCCACGTTATTTCTTTGCTCCTTCCCAGTAAGCTGAGTGATGATTATCTCCATATGTGATGCTTTTGGCATTGCCTTCATGATCATGCTAGTGAATGGCTTTTGAACCTAGCTGAAGGCTCCCTTACTACTTGGGAGCAAGTGTATGATGAGTTTATAGCATGGTTTTATTTGCCATTTCACTGAAGAGCTTCTCAACAAGATCTTTAATTTCTCCTAATTGCTAGAAGTACCATTACATAAAGCCTAGGAAAGATACAATACTTTATATTAAAGTAATGCCCACACCATGGCTTCACCCCTTTAATGATCATTGACAAATTTTATAAGGGATTGATGATGACTTACCAAAATCTTATAGACATAGCTATTGATGGCTGTAGAGGAAAGAGAATGGCATATTAGATTATGCTCATCTATGAGTGCCTTGCTAGAAACTCATGTCAGAAAGGTGACAATGACAGGAAGGTCTAAACCCATCAAGTAGAATCTAGCTCTGCTATTGCTACTCAATTGGAGGAATAGGAATATTTCAAACTTAATTTCTAATGTTATTACTCCTAATCATTATGTTCCTGTTAATTTTATTGATCTATCTTATCGTTCCTGGCAAGGTAATTATGACAATCAGGTTGTAGAGACCTACTATATAGATGCCAACCAGAACTAGAGAAGGAGTCAAGGAAAGCCTTACAAACCTTTTGGCAAAACTTATAGTAAGAGTAGAAAGGACCACCCAAACTTTTAGTGAAGGACTAGAGAAAGCACAAAGCTAATGAACTTTAAGAAACCTTTAGCTCTAGACTAAGAACCCTATAACATTAATGAAAAGTTTAACAAATTATACGATATGATCTGCAAGCTATACACAGCTCAAATTAGTGCACGTTCTATGAGGAACTGCACTTAAAAATATAAAGGCACAACATCAAGCCATCATTAGAAGCTTAGAGACACAATGTCAAGCTGCCATCAAAACTTTAGAGACCCAGATGAACCAGTTGGTTAGCATATTATTTGAATGCCTATAAGGTCAACTACTAAGTAATACAAAAGTCAACCCCAGGCAAGGGATCATGGCAATTAGTACAAGGCGTGGGAATAAATTTTTTAGATATAAATACTCTAATAGGAATAACACCCTACAAATAGCTTTTCAGAAGCCACTTGTTAAGGTGTTTATTTTTTCATTTTACTTATAATCGTTTTGTGAAAAGGACCACTAAAGATATTGCTATGGTGGAATTTCTCTAAAGAAACATCGTTATAAGTTGCATTTAATCAAGAAATGCTCCTAGCCCCTACTCCAATAGAGAATATTGCTGAACCCACTAGTTGATCGAGCAAATCATCAATTCTAGGAAGGGAATACTTCTTCTTGATAGTTATCTTATTCAATTGTTGGTAGTTGATGCACAGTCTAAGGCTTTCATCGTTCTTCTTCACAAATAGGACCGACGATCTCCAAGGTGAGATACTCAATCTAATGAACCCTTTCTCAAGCAACTCTTTAATTTGGTTCTTTAACTTATTCAACTCCAAGGGGGTCGGGGGAGTCCTTCATAATTGGGATACTCTTGGCTATCTTCATAGAACTTGCCAATGTGGCTAGATTTCCTATAGATGGAACAAACCTAGCACAACTAAGAGTGACAGTGCCCATACTTGGCACACTGTTGTAACCTTGCCATACTCGAGGTAGAGGTAT